TGGCCTACCTGCACGAGGACATCCCGGGGCTCAAGGACGGCCACAAGCCAGCCATCTCCCACAGGTGGGGCCCTCAGCACCCTGGGGTGAGGGCTGGGGACAGGGACACACGGATCCTGCACCAATTCCTATGTGTCCTTTCCAGCAGCCACCGAGGGGTTGTTTCCTGCTATTTAAACAAACAGTTCCTGCACACTTGGATGACATTTTCATTCCATCTCTGTATCCCACATGTATCATCCTATCCATGTCTCCATATATCCATCATAATAATGCATTTATTTAAAAAACAAGCACAAAATTCCAGTTATTGTCTCACTTACACACCTTTATCCTTGTGGGAATAAGGGCACTCCAAGCTTTTATTATTATTATTTGTTGTGCAATTTATCTATTTCTTTATAATTTCTTTGCCTTTCGTGCTATAATGTTCTTTGTTTTATGCTCTCCCTTTTTCCTTGTAATTTTATTCCATGTTCTAGATTTCTAATTTCTTTTTTTTTTCTTGAACTTGAAAGGGACATCAAAAGCAAGAACGTGCTGCTGAAAAACAACCTCACTGCTTGTATTGCTGATTTCGGTCTAGCTTTAAAGTTTGAGGCTGGAAAGTCTGCAGGAGACACCCACGGACAGGTAAATCCTGAGTTATTTCCAGGAATGATCCTGCATGTGGAGGGGAATTACCCCTCAGGATCATTGCATGGCCTCTCCCAAAAGAAGTTTTGCCATATTTTATTAATTTTGAATAAATTGTCGGGAACTGAGGGATGAAACTTCCAAGATTTAGCCCAAAGCAGGGAATAACCGTGGCTGTGTTTGATGTGGGACAAAGCACGGGTTTTGTTTGGCACAGGGGGGTTGTGCCCGTGCTGGGGCTGATCCCTGGTGCCAAGGTTGGTGTTTTGGTGCCCTCCAGGTGGGCACTCGCAGGTACATGGCCCCAGAGGTGCTGGAGGGAGCCATCAACTTCCAGCGGGACGCGTTCCTGAGGATCGACATGTACGCCATGGGACTGGTGCTCTGGGAGCTGGCATCGCGCTGCACCGCCGCTGATGGTGAGGGATCCATGGGATCCAGGGGATGGGATGGGATCCAGGGGATGGGATCCATGGGATGGGATGGGATCCATGGGATGGGATGGGATCCATGGGATGGGATCCATGGGATCCATGGGATGGGATCCATGGGATGGGATCCATGGGATGGGATGCGATGGGATGGGATCCATGGGATGAGAATGGAGTGGGAATGGGATGGGGATGGGATGGAGTGGGAATGGGAATGGGATGGGAATAGGATGGGAATGGGGATGGGAGTGCAAATGGGAATGGGGAGTAGGAATGGGAATGGAAATGGGAGTGGCAATGGGAATGAGGGCCTGGAAGTGTCCCAGCCCATTTTTCAGGGCTTGGAGCACCCTGGGGTGGTGGCAGTGTCCCTGCCCATCTCCCTGGATGGGCGTTACAGCCCCTTCCAGCCCAAACCATTGCAGGATTCTGATTTTGGCCTGCACTCCCAACATTCCAATCTCCTCTTTCCCTTTTCCATACCGTTGGTTTAACTGCTGTYCCCTCTGCAGGCCCTGTGGACGAGTACATGCTGCCTTTCGAGGAGGAGATTGGCCAGCACCCCTCCCTGGAGGACATGCAGGAAGTTGTGGTGCACAAAAAGAAGAGGCCTGTCCTGAGGGAGTGTTGGCAGAAACATTCTGTAAGTGTGACCCAGCCCTGCTGCCAGGGGTGAATCCCACATTGTGTCCACCCCTGTCCTGTCCATCACACTGCAGTTTGGGAGGAATTCAATCATTCCAGGAGAAGTTAAATGGGCTGTAAATGTTCTTCATCTTAAACTACTCTTTCTTCAGGATTAGAAAGTGGTTTTGGTGTAAGAGGAGACCTTGGAATTACTTTTCATTGAAGTGTCACTTGATGGCTGAGGGATTCACCTCTTTAAAATCCTGTGAGGCTCCAGCCCAGTCAGGAAGGATTTTCCCACTGTTGTTGAGCAGTTTTTGGTTCAATAGTGCAGAACAAAGCAGAGCTGAGGCCCCACAGGACACTCCAGGTTCACACCAGCCCCTCACCCTGTGGGACACAAAGGTTCCCCTTTGCCAGGAGTCCCTTCAAATGCCCATTTTTATGTGGCAGACCCCCTTTTGTCCCTGTGCTGGTTTCCTCACCCCCRTTTCCCACAGGGAATGGCGATGCTGTGCGAGACCATCGAGGAGTGCTGGGATCACGACGCCGAGGCCCGGCTGTCSGCGGGCTGCGTGGAGGAGAGGATCATCCAGATGCAAAAACTCACTAACATTATAACCACAGAGGACATCGTGACTGTGGTCACAATGGTGACAAACGTTGACTTTCCTCCCAAAGAATCCAGTCTATGATAGTTGCACTGGTCATGCCGTGACCACAGGACTCTTCACTGGAGCTGCTACAGCGCACGGGCTGTTCCGGCTGGGAAGAACGGACGGTAAGTCTCTCTGGAACATCACCAAGAGGTGTTTCTCCTTTGTTTTCCCTTTCCTCCTCTCCCCGACGTGGATCCATGAGACTTTCTGCATTCCCTGCTTACACCTGAAGGACGTGACTGAGAACCCCTCACGTGCTGATAAAGAACTTATGATGAAGAATCCGGACCCGAACGGGCTAATGAGCGTTTTAAACACTGACATCCGATTTCTTAATCCCTGTCAGAAGAGACTAATTCCTTAAATGAACTACTGTTATTTTTTTTAAAATCAAAAACATTTCATTTCAGATTTAAAAAAAACCAACAAAAAAAAAAAAAAGGGTAACTTGTTTTTATTGCATTCGTTGTTGTTTATAAAATGACTATTGTAATGCGACTACGACACAGCTTGTGAATGTTCCGTGTGCTGCTGTTCCGTGTACAGAAACAAGAGTAATCAATGGGATAGAGCAAAGAGGCTTCCAAGTATTACTTAACCTCCCTCAACCAGGTATACCTCAGTTCCACCTCGCTAAATTATGATTGACAACACTAATTGGAATAATAAACCGCTCCGTGTTTTGTAAATGATGTATTTCCCAATTCCCTGTGTTATTTAAGAAGGGGAAAGCTTCATGCCCCCAGGAAGTGGCCATTCCTAGAGCCGTGTTTTTAGCCTTTTCTTGTACTCGCTTGTTGTGTATAAAAAAAAGAAAAAAATGCTGTTTATTGAAAGAAAATTTTCCTTCCTCTTTTAGTTGAAAGCTTTTCCCTCCATTTCCCAGAGTATCTCATCCATTTATTTAACTGAATACTATTTAGGTTTGCTGTGTCTGAGGAATATTTGAAACCTTAAGCATGACTTTTTTTTTTTAATTTTCTCTGAGCTGTGACACTGGAAAGCTCTGAATTCTTCTTGGTTTTTTTTTTTTTTGAAAAAAAAAGTCTTTTTTTCCTATTTATGTTTGTGCCGAGGTCGCCGCGTGTTCCCCGTCCCGCCAGACAGTGGGGGCTGTGTCACTGTTTCAGGATCACCTCAGGAAGCTCAGTTTCCCCAATTCCTCACCCTCTGCTTGGAGATTTGCAATTTCCCTCCACTCAAAGCTTGGTGCCATCGTAGGGGAGCGCAGCTCCCTCCCTGTGAGCCACAGGTTTAGCCTGGAGTCACACAAAGTTGTAGCCACAGGTTCCAGATCCTAAATGGTACAAATTTCAGGGATAACCTAGTTCTGCTCACGATATGCAACGACCATTCCGAGGTAACGAAAGGAATTTCAGTGTCCATAGCACAGACTCACAAAAAACAAGGAGAAATCGTGGAAATGGCTTCACAACTCCCAAGAGTGGAGTTCAGGATGTCACACTTTATGCTGGAATTACAGTGACTGGTATAGCTGGGTGCCAAAGTGCTTCTCCCAAATCCCATCTCACTCCATTGATTGGATCCTTCACACCAAATTCCAAGGAAAATCAGTGTTGGGATTGTTGGAGCGCAGAGCCGGCCGTGCTGTGCTGTTTGTCCACAGCCAGTGTCTCTGGAAAGCAGCAGCTGGGAGCTCTGGAACAGGGATCTGTGCCYCTCATCCCTGGGAACAAACAGGGGGAATGTGATGGATAAAGCAGAGCTGGGCAGGGAGGGAGGAAGGGCTGATGTTCACCCAGAGCTGTGGCTCTGCTGCTCCCGGCTGTGCCCGAGGAACAGCTCCAAGGGGCTGGTGRAGAAGGGAGAGGAACCCGGTTTGTGGGGTCTCCTTGGCTCAACACTTCCCTTTCCTTCCATTTTTGCTCCACTTTAATTAAACTTCACTCAGAGCAGGACAGGAGCGGAGCTGTGGAGCTCTGAACGAACTCCAGCCGGACACCTCGGGGCAGAAATGGAGTTGGGATGGGTTCATTCTGTGCTGTTGGAAACCTGATGCCAAAATTGAAGCTGTATCCAAGTCCCTGCTGTGTGTGACCCCTCCCATGGAGCTGCCAGGACTCAGGGCTGCCTCTTTGGGATATCCCCGGTCGGTTCCTGGGATTTACCAGCATCATGTAGCGTCACTGAGAGAAGGCTGCTCCTGCCAAACGCTTTKTAACGGGTCAGGAGCTGTGCCCCAAGGCCTTGGGAATGAATTCAGTGAGTTGAGCTGCCAGAGCAGCGTTGGAGGGCAGGATGAAGGGAATGCAGTGCTCAGGAGGAGCTGGGCATTGTTCTGGCAGTGCCCAGGAGCAGCACTGGTGAGGGATGAAGGGAATGCAGTGCTCAGAAGGAGCTGGGTATTGTTCTGGCAGTGCCCATCCCTTCCTGTCCCGTGAGCTCCCAGCCCAGGCTGGCCCTGCCCGGCCTCAGCAATGTGAKTGTTGTGAGGGTGAAGTTCCTGTGCCACGTCCTCAGAGCTGCTGGAGGGGTTGAACCAGTGCTGCCAATCCTGAGCTGTTCCCAAAGTGCCCCGAGAGCCTGGGAATGGCCCAGAAACCACAGGGGTGTCTGAAATGAATCTCACGTGTAACCAACGCTGAGACTTGGCCCACTCCCGTCAGCATTGACACAATCACTGAGGTCACCCCCTCTCCTCTCTCTCCAGCTTTTTTACCCTTTTTTAACACATTTCTGTTGATCAGGAACACTTGGTACAAAACACAGGAAGCTGCAATACACATCCATGGGTAAAATGACTCCAGTAGCATCCTTGATGGAACATCTGTTACCTCAGATACTCAACCAGCAGGACTGCTTTGCTTTTTCCCTCGATTTTGGGTTTTTTTCAGTCCATCTCCTCTTYGTTACCTCTCGAGTTTGGTGAGCGATTTCTTTCCCTTTCCTCTTTGTATTTGTCAGTGTTTTGGGCACAGGTTGTTGTACTACTGTCAAAGGGTACTTGCTGCTTTTCTGCAAGTGCCAAAAAACCAACCAACCCCCCCTCGCCCTCAATAAAGTGATTGTTAAATATTGTACAAATACAAATGTATACTCTGCCCTCTTCCCCAGCGGGAAAATAAAAAATGTGACTACTCTGACTTGCAAAGGATTCTTTGGAAACTTATTTTCAACACGTGGGGCTGTTCCTAGAGCAGTTMTTGAGCTGAACTTCTGAGTTAGGGCAAAAAATGGGTATGGAAAGATGTTACACCTTGTACTTGGCACAAAGTGGCTGTTACAGCTGAAGCCTGTTGGGATTAAACATTTAATGAAGTAAGATTAAAGATTTAATTGAGTAAATTTTCCATGTCAAGTCAAATTTGAGAAGGAAAAGTGCAGTGTGAGCTTTGAGCTGATGGGTCTGTGCTGCAGAACAGAGCTGGGAGGGCAGCGTGGCCTGAGCTGGGATCCAGAGCACTCAGCCCACAGTGAGAAATTCCAGAGCCTGGATTTCTGCAAGGGGAACTGAGTGTGAGAGGAGTTGGTGCTGAACTAAAGCACCTAAGGGTGTGAGTGAGGCACAGAGCAGCAGCACAGCTTTCCTTAGAAATCCTAAATGGAACACAGAATGCTGCTTCCAAAAATTTATTGAGCTGAGCACCTTGCTGTGGGTAAACATTCCCTCTTGTGGAAGTTCTGCTGGAGCAGGGGCAGGGCTCAGAGCCAGCTGAGGGAGGAGGCTGCCCACTGCTTCACATCCGTGGGGCAGTTGGGGTATACCTGCAGGGCATCCATGATCTGGCTGCTGTCCAGCAGCAGCTTCATCAGGAGATATTCCCGCTGTGCACGGACCGACGGCCGCTCCAGGGGCTGCACCAACTCCAGCTGCAGCAGGTGTTCAAATGCCTGCAAAGAACAGGAAAAGAGGAAGGGGAAGGAAACATCATTCCTGTCAGAAGCAGGGTGTCCTTCCCACCCCAGAACACCCCAATCCCTTCTAGGGCTGCATTTGACCACCCCAATCTGAGCTCTGGAAAATAAAACCTAAATACTTTATAATAAAAAAAAAAAAAAAAAAACAAACAAAAAAAACCAACCAAAACGAACATTTCAGGCTCACCTTCATGACAACTGGCTTCTCAAAGTGGTACATTGAATGTGCCTTCCTCTGGATGAACTTCTGGAATTCTGTACCAGTGGGAGGAAAAGAGAAGGGGCAGTGAAAAGGAAGTGAGTGATGCAGGGCTGGTGAAGCTCAGGCCGTGCTCTCACCATTGTAAACCATCTGGAAGTTGAAGGGTTCTCCATCGTAGACTTCGTTCAGGTGTTTCATGGCTATGATGAGGCAGATTTCCAGGACAGACAAWCCTGCAGGGAAAGATGAGAATCCCAACTATTTGAAGCCAGAATGTGCAGAAATGGGCTGTTCCCACCACAAAGCAAGAAATGCAAGTATCTAAGTTGGGAATGCTGTATCCACAGACAGGTCTGAGCTCAGAGCAGACTCTGTGGGCACAGGCAATCAATCCCTGTGCAGCTCAAACCCAGGGAATAGTCCCTATACAGTGTCTCTTCCACCAGGAGATTTCCCTGACACTTTCCTTGCTCTRAGAAGGAGTTTTGGGGAGAAGCTGAGCTTTACCATGGACGATGTTTGCCTTGGAGTCAGTTCTGTTCTGTTTGCTGGCCTCCTGCAGGTCTGCAGCAGTGAGCAGGGGGTGGTGCACAGTCACTGCACTGACAGCCAGCATCTGAAACACAGCAGAGACACTGCCTTGAACTCCCAGGCACACAATTCCTGCTCAGGAACTCCCTGGGGTCACCTACTGGAAACAAAATGAGTAAACCCCACACCCAGTAGGTTCATACTGAGAACCCTGCAAACAGCAGGCACCTAAACTGCATTTTGCCAGCAAAGTTTTCCAGGCTTGAAACTTTAAAGCCTCCTCATTCCGGTAGAAAAATCCTCATGAACCTGTTCATATCCACGTCAAYGGATCAACAGTTCAGAGGCTGCTGTAGGAATGACTTACAACTGTTTTGCACCTGATTTTGTACCCAGGGACACCTTCCACTGTCCCGGGTGCTCCAAGCCCTGTCCAGCCTTGCCTTGGGCACTGCCAGGGATCCAGGGGCAGCCACAGCTTCTCTGGGCATCCTGTGCCAGGGTCTGCCCACCCTCCCAGCCAGGAATTTCTCCCCAATATCCCACCCATCCCTGCCCTCTGGCAGTGTGACCCCATTCCCTGTGTCCTGTCCCTCCATCCCTTGTCCCCAGCCCCATCTCCAGTTTGTCCAGTAACTCCTCACTCCAGAATCTGTGTTGTATGCTTTCATTGGAAAATTGATTTCGGAGCAAAAAGCCTCTTTCCAAAGGAAGAATTCAGCACATGCTGCAGAAAACAATTGGGAAGTTGAGTCTGAGCTCTGCCCTGCTCTCTGGGAGGCTGTTGGGTGCCATCAGCTCCTTTCCTGGCTTTCACCAGATTGGGGTGCACTGCACTAGGAATAATCTGCAACCTTGGAACCTACCCCAGTAACCAAAGCAGCAGCAAAAAGGGGGCTCTGCTGAGGCTCTGCAGTTTGGAACTTGTCTGCTCCAGTTCTCAGGGTGGCTCTGAGCACTGCTGGGAAGAGCTGTCAGCACCGGARCCCAGCACAGCCCACCCCAGAGCAKCAGGTTACAGATCTGAAGGCTGGCACAACACCCCTGTGGCAGGTACAGTCAGTGGGATTTTCACACTGACACAAGCACAGGGATATTTTGGGATGGTTAAATAAGTGTTATTGCATTTATTTTAACTGTGTTCAAAAGCAGGATTCAGGGAGGCAGCCTAAATTTAAAAAAAGACCCTCCAAGAGAGCTGCAGCTCCTGGGTGGTGATGGGAGGAAGTTCACAGCCAGCTTAGAGCTAGGAAAAGGAGTTTCAATATGGGCAGATTTCAGAATTCACCAGGAACCAAAAAGAATCTCAGAAAGGAAAACACTGTTTCAAAAGTTTTCAGCTCGAGTTTCACTTTAGAAATGGAAAGGCTTGAAGAAAGTGAAATAGCAGAAGTTCAGCTCCATTTGAATTGAACCCTCCATCCTCACAAGGAAACTGCTGCAGAAACTGGAATTGGCCATGTCCACTGATACAGCACAGGGTGACAAAGCCTGCAAGGAACCAGCCCTGGCACAAACCTGGAAGCTCAACAAAAATGATGTTTCAAGGAGCACTCAGCTAAACAGCCTGAAAACCATGAGAGCTGTTCATGAATCACTGCAAACCAAGGAGGTGATGTAGAAATACCCAAATACWCACCAAGAGCAAGTGCAGCGAGCGCAGGTCTTTGGTGTGGTGGAAAAGGTTCTGCAGCACGTCCTGCACAGTTTTATCCTCTGAGAGATGCTGCAAGAAACAACAAAGTGATATTTTATATTTCAACCATCTCAGCTCATCACTTTGCTCTCACCAGGAAAAATAAGAGTTAAATAACTTTAAGAGCTCAGCTTACACCTGACAGTACAATTTTCATGTCTAACCTCAACTTTCTGGTCTTTCCTGTGACAATTTTACCTCCAGACTTCCCTAAGTGAAGATTCTCTATCATAATTTAATTTATTCCATATTAAACTCAGACAGTGAAAGGAAATGCCAATCTCAGGTAAAAGCTTTACATTTTTACTGGTAAAGGATATGTGTATAAAGTAAACCAGATTCATGCTGCTCTCACTTTAGAATTTTTACTAAAAYCAAGTACAAGATGCTTTAAATACCTGAACATTATTATTCCACTTTTGTGCAAAAGTCTCATCAGGAAATTCAGAAGGAAGAGAAAGCTGTTCCTTAAATATCTTGATGTATTGTTTAAAATCAAAGGAATTCATCAAATAGATCTGTCTGTGAGAGAACCTTGACTTTACTCTCTTCTCCAAAAGCTCCAGAATATCCTTGATGAGAAAAAAAAAAAGAGAAACAGTAATTAAAAAAGATWAATTTAGTGATTTCTTTGCTACAGCACAGACAAATCACTGAAGTGTGCTGAAAAAAGAATTATTGACTTTTCAGGCTTAAAATGCTGTAGCATAACTTAAATGTTGTATGAAGCCCTTTGCTGATTATTTTAATTGATGTGCAATCCTAGCAAGCATGTCCCAGCCCACGTGATGCACCACATCACACAGGATCATGTGTTGCTAGGAAACACAGCAAAATTTCTCCATAGATTATGGAAATATTTCAGCTACTTAAGGCTGAATCAAAGCTTTCAGCCTGTCAGGGCTCTGGACAAATTGTTGTGTGGTCACACCGGGGCTGGCAGCTGACAGGCCACGTGCTTTTGTCAGCCTGAGAGAACACAGCTTAAAAAAAAAAAAATCACAAAAAATACTTAAGAGTTAAAAAAAAAAAAAATCTCAGAAACAACAGCTGTCAGTTCTGGAGACACTTCTCTAATTACTCTCAAAATTAGGGGATAAAGGGTTCTTAATAATGAGTCAGCACAGCTGACTCAGGACAGTGATGATGCTAAAGGAGAGATTGTAACTTAATAAAACAACAATTAACTTTTYTATTAACTTCCAGAAATTTGCACAGCTGGGTATCACCTAATCCCAGTCACACCCAGAATCAGGCTYTGATAGGAGATTTTAATTATTCTTCTTCCTGTCACAACACAGTTGAYTGTAAAAACAATATTATTTTTATCAAGTTTCCATAGTGTTGCACAGGAATTATTTCACAGCATACACAGCATACACACAACCTTGTCCAACAATTGTCCACAATTCAATATATTTTCAATACAAATATAATTTGTAAAAATCACAGAAAACTGAATGTGGATTCTAAACCCATTCTATAGCAAAAGTCCCCTAAAAAATGCTTTTGTCCTTAGAACAGAGACTTAAATGTGTTAATACAAGTCTGCTTTTGCCAAGAAACTCAAATGCCCAGGAGCCTCTCCAACAGTATAATATTAAATGTGTCTCCWTAGAAATGTGGGTTTGCTCCTTTAGCAGTAAAACTGAAGGCTCTGGGCATCTTAAGTTTCCTCTCAGCACCAATTATTATTTTTTTACATCGCCTTTCCCAATTGAGAAGTCAGAAAAATGGATAATTGAGAAAAGTCAGGAAATAAAGGTTCCAGGAAAGGAAAAGCCATTCCAAGCAACATAAAAGTCACTTTAAAAGAGCTGAAAAGTTTGAATGAGCAAGTTTTGAATGGCAAGTGYCATTTCCTACCTGCCTACAGGTGAGTCCAATGACTGTGACTGGGGTCTGTGCTGACTGGGAGATGTCAAAGAGGTTGTAGAGCAGGGTCTGATTCTTGTGGTGCACAAACAAATCAAATTCATCCAGTACAAACAACACTGGACAGCTGCTGGTTCGATTTCCTGAGAACAGTTTGGATGGTTAGCCGGGCAATTTCAGCACTACAGTTTTCATTAATTATTAGTTTAATGTTTAATTCACAGATTTGCTTTTAGCTTTTCACTGAGCCCTCCTTTCCCAAAGGTACAACAGCAAAAAGAAAAATGCATTGAAAAGCTGGGAAGGTTTTGTCCTGCTGTGCCAAGCAGTRTTTCTGGCTGCAAGAAAAACCAACTTCTGCAACCAAATTCTTTAAAAACCACTGTTTTTAAAAGCATCAGCAAGGTAAGAGAATCTTTTCTTCACAGCTGACATGTAAACCTTTACAGCATTAGTTACATCAGGTATGTATTAGTTCAGTATTATATATTTTTTATATTATTTTGTAACCATAACACATTTTGGGGCTAAGTTTTTTCCTTCCACCTGTAGAGTAAAAGAGAAAAACTCTACTTTTCAGTCAAGTGACCCAGAGTTTCAGAAAAMAGTTATTAGTGTTTACCTTTCCTTAAAGCTTCAAGAAGAAATGCCAGATTTTCAGCAAAACTGCCCTAGACAGAGAAKAAATAAGTTTCAGAACAGATTTGCAGTGTCATTCTCAGAATTGATAATTACAGGAAATTCAGACACGCAATGAAGGSCACCTCCTTCCAAAACTCTGCTTTCAAAAAATGTAACTTCATGCTTTATAATCATAAACTCCTCAGAYACAAAAAATTATGGATAACACTGCATTCATCCACTTTTTTCCAGTTTGAAATCCCCAAACTGCCTCAAACAGGCAAAAATTAGTGATCAGWAGAATGCCTGCAATAAGCTAAATTCACAAGGAGCTTTATCTTTCCTAAAATAGCTGTTGCATCCTCATTTTCCAGCCATACACATGGAAAAAGTGCCACCTAACGTGTTCCACTGAGAAGGAGCAGGRTGCAGGGTTTAATTGGTAACTTTATTAACCAGATGGAAGCATCAAACCTTCATGACAAGAAACACTTTTTTTTGAGAAAACAGGAAACACTGAATTGCTGGGACCATCCTGCTCCAGCTACACAAGTTTTCCYACCCTGCAGCACTGCAGGTGTGAGAAGAGAAATAATTAACTGGAGAACAGAAGCCCTATCAAAGGGGACAGAAAACAAATTTATCCTCTGAATTTGCTCCTTTCTGAGTTATAAAAAATGAGGAAAATTTATTCTAAAGTACTTTGGTTCCTCTGTTTAGGACTGTCTCCAGTACTAATGTCAATCAGTTTATCTGTGGGAAAAGGGCAATAGAAGTAGATATTTTAATAGAAACTCTATGCAAAATAGAGTATCCTCGGAATATATCCTTGGAAGCCAGGATAGACTTCTCTATGAACTAGAAAAGGTTACAAATATATTAAATATGCAGCTTTTTGCTTGGTTAACTTGCTAATGCTTTGTTTCGAAATGTTAAAACAATGTTTCCAAAGTCCCCACCCGTTTGAGCTAAGTTTTTTTCAAATGATTAAGTTCAATTTAGGAACTTTCCTTTTTCCCACCTTCTGTAAGGCMCAAGTTGATGTGCTTTTAAAAACTGATCAGGATGCATTAATCTTGCTCAACCAACAAAGGTAACTTTAGCATTTGTGTGGAACTGCTGGCACTCACAATCCATTCAGTCCCAACAAGCTCCATCCCACAAAGCCAGTTTTCCAAGAAAGGTGAAGTTACTCACAAAAACTTTGTCCCCAACCACATTTTCCAGTTGCAGTTGCCTGGTTATCTCCTTCAGGGCCACTTTATCAGTTGTCTGCAGAAGGCCTGAAAGAAAAGGATTTTGCATGAAGAACTGGCAGTTCACTCCCCAGTAAACTGAAACTTATCCAGAAGCTTCCCTCCCCTTCCAGCCTTACAAAGCTTTGCCTTTTTAAATATTAGACTGGACAGGAATTTTCTGTACCTGGTAAGTTATTTAATTTGGYTGCTAAGAGCACAGAAGTTCCCTCCATATAAAGAAATACAGAGAGAGGCATTTTGGACTCACAGACAAACATGTCCATAATTTAGGCTGGACTMAACTGCTGAAATCAAAGCTTTTATTCAGTACATACAATGTAGACAAGTGAATATAACATAACACTGGATCAATGTTCTATTACTTGCCATTCAGATGAACTTCCAAGAGGTTCTCTCTAGCTTGTTCCATTTCCCTGAGGTCTTTTAAGACATGGTTTAATAACTAAAAAAAGAAAAAACACAGAATCTGTGTGAGAAGATTAATGCTGTAACAGCAAGGAAATGTACCTATGGATATTATAGGATAGGAAAACAGAGTGTGAGGTTTCATTAGGTGACACATTCGAGTAATTTCCAGACTAAAATACCAAAATGACAACTTTGCATTCACCAGCAAGACTGTGTCATTTACTTTTGTTCATTCTGCTGAACTAGGAGAGAAAGAACAGTAACTCTGGTATTTGAGTCACCCTTTTTTTTTATAATATCTGGGGCATTTGCTTTCATTAAAAAGCTGTATGAATTTGAGATGTGAGAGAATTTGGCTCTGGAGTTGGTACCATATTCAGCTTCATGGCTTGTTCAGATGCTGTAGAAAGAAACTCTTGGCTTTAAATATTAAAAGAAACTTTACTTATTCTTTTAYTCTGGAAGACAAAATCTGCACATGATTACACCAACTGCTGCTTGTAAAACTCAGGGGTGCCAAATTTGCTGTCCATCAAGAACTTGGTACTGCTAAAAGTCATAAAGAACTTGTATTAAAATATCTGCAAGTAGTAGAAATGTTTGATCTAAAAATTTTATTTGCTTTGACTTCCTCAGATGAGGATTTGTAGCTCCCACTTCTGTGTGTGTATAAATATGTAAATATACACACTCATGATTTTCCTGACTCCAGCATCTTTCACTTGGTACATAATAAGGAAATAATTAATTTTGCCTATGTGATTTTTCTTACTTATATTCCGGCTCAAAGGATCCCAAGTTTTCATCATCTTCACTATCCTTATGTAAAACGTTTGAAAGCAAATTTAAGCTTTAAATAATAAAATCAATTGTGAATTACAGTGATGTGGCACATGGAGTTTGAGGGATTGCTCTGTGGGGGTTTTTGAGAGTCTCTAACATTTACTCCAATGTCTTGAAGTACAGAGCTCATCTTTTCTACAAATAAGAAATCTAAAAACTCCTTCCTGTACTGTAAGAGTGCTTGTTGCTTTCTTACRTAGTGATAAAACAAATAAAGCAAAAATAAAATCCAGGTATTTCCTGGTAGTCTTGAAGAATCCTTGATTGCCACTGCTTTATCAGCACCACAGGATTTGAAAATTATCCTTCCTAGAAAGCACCATGGATAACACATCAAGGTGATAACACTGGTTGTGGAAAGCAAAACAAGAAAGCAACAGCAAAATGGCAGAATGACTGGTGTCAGCTGTGTCATGGWTATCTTTAACAGCTATTAATTAATTTCTATTCAAATTATTTAACAGCCTGAAGGCCACTTGCTTTAGCACTTGGGAAGCCTTCCAATGTAATTTTTGTAAYTGTTCAATCTCAAATGCTTTTTGCAGTAATATCCAATCTATTTAGYCCATTATATATTCATGTAAACATTAAAGACTTGAGGGTTTGAATAATGCTGAAGTATCAAACAGTTAAATTAGAGGTCAACCCTTCATGTGCCTCAGCTAAAGGGAATTCTGTTAAAATACCAACCTACGTTTAGAAACCATGACCACCAAACAATATCCTGCTTCATGGTAGGTAATAATGTTCCTTCAGGATTAGGATACCTGACCATTCCCTGCTTACACTGTGGAGAAAATAATTCTTAGACAACTCCTTTTAGAGCTCTTGGATGCCTTTTCACCATTTTCACAGTGAGGGGCCAATAACAGGTTAATTAAAGAATAATCAGAACACAGGTTTAATTGCAAAGACAAATGTTAGGAAGAGGCTTTTCCATATTGTTCCTGGACAGAATTAGCTCACAGAAAGCCCTGGAATGTTTTGAACTTCTATGTAAGYCATTAGCAATTCTCTGTTTAAAACSARGCAGAGATGAAAACAGCTGCAAAAGCTCCCAGGACTCCAGTGAGGTTCTGTTGGACCCTGTACAAAGTTCCAAGAGCTGCTCCTACCGCAGTTTTCCCCGATCCCCGGGGTCCAATAATGAGGGCGGAATTACTCTCCCCCTGCATCGTGGTTCGTTTCAGCAGCTCCAGCAAATGTCTGTGTTGGAAACAGAAATAGATTGAAAATCTCAAAGCTGACAACACTCCCCCAAACCAGGGAAAATTCAAAGAATTCAACTTGATCCACTTCGGCCTGCTCTGAGAGCCAGCACTCAGGGCATGCAAAATGTAATACAATAAAGTACAAAGGGCTCAATGATCACAGCTCTTAAAATATTTTAAAATATTAAAACATGCAGAAGTCGAGAGTATCACTAATTCATAAWGTTCTGCAATTCCCCACCATGAAAGGACAGACTTCAATAATAATTTCTTTCCTTAAGAAATGGATTGCTTTCTGTGCTACCACTGTACCTCACCAGCTCTAAATTACCTGCAGACTCTTCACATCATACCACATTTTGGGAAGGAAGAGACAAAAACTGGAGAGTTCATTTTGTTTTCCTTCTAGGATAATTCACTACCAGTGGCACATTGAGTAAAACACAGTCTGCAAATTGCTTTTCAGAATTCCAGTGTAAATAGGGAAGGTTTTGTAGAACTGATGTAACAGAAATACATTTTCTCCCAACAGCAATAAAATGCCTATGTGAGCTCTGCGTGTATAGTGCATGACACTAAATAAGTAAATGAATAAATAAATGTTTCTTTCCTTCTTTTAATGAAAATTTGTGCTTACATCAGTTACCTCCTCATAAAGTTAGTCTTGGAAAACTTAATTATTTAAAACAAGTTCTTTAGATATATTTTTTGTTATTTGCATAATTTGACCTGCACCTGTAAAGTGTTCGGTACTGGGACAGTGTTATTGTCACACTAAGTCCCTTCTTCCTAACTCTAACCTCCACATCTGGATAACTCCAAAAAGTAGCTTTGTTTTAAATATGGGTCCCTACTTCAAAACACATGATGTTAGCACAGAAGGTTTAAGATTTACTTTTAACACCGTTTGCCAACAAAGAGGAAAATATCTGAAGTAAAAATGAAGATTCACAAGAGAATTTAGCTTCTCACTTAGCCAGGCCATTACACAGTCTTAAAACATGCACTGAAAGTGTCTTCCAGGCCCAAAAAAAATGCTTTGGGAATTACGGATGTGAAGCCTTCTTGTGAAGGACAAGAAATCCAAAATGCYGAGCCTGACAAAAGCAACACAGAASAGTTTTATAAAAACTCYTAAAATCTGAGGCAAATAGCTTTTAGAAGCACCAGGCTGCAGGTCCTTTAAACCTGTATCATTCAGAAAAAAGAGAAGCAGAAAATTCTGACTTCACTAGATTATTTTACTACTGCARTTAAATCAGCAATTACTTAATCCTAGAGCCTGCTCACTCACCTGTACTGCTGTTCCATCCCAAACAGTTTTCCAGCAGCACAATGGTGACAGAATCTTTCACGGAAAATTTTTTGCACCTAAAGATGCAACACAGGACAGGAAAAATGTTTGGGACTTCAAACACCAGACTTTAYCAATAATGTAACTACAGCAATAAAATAATGGTAAATTGTGCACTTTTGTGGTGTTACAAATATTCTGTAATCCGTCAGTTTTTACTGTAATGAATACAATAGGGATCTTGAAAGCAAAAATAAAGTTACAGGACACAGAATACTGTATAAATTTTATATAAAGGAGAAAAAGCAATTAAAAGATATTAAACTATAAGAAATCACCGACTCGGAGGTAATTCCCTCCAAGATGCATTGCAGTTTTTAACCAGCAACTTTGGGAAAACAGGAAAATAAAGATTTAAAAACCCAAACTAAAAACGGATTTTGCAGCTCTAGTCCTGCTGCTAGAAAAGTCACCTGGGTTCTGAATCACCCTAAAAACTGGAAGATAAAGAATCTAAATAGACAAAAACATATTTATGCAAACCTGTTGCCACAAACAGTTGCAAAAGCACAAGGCCATCCTTTAAGTTCTTTACTACATTATTACTGCAAACACTTGTAGCAAGCAACAGGTGAGAAGAACAGAAAAGAAACAAAGGACAGATACAAAACCCATTCACTGCCCTAGAAATTGTATCCAGTATCCGTACAAGGTTTTGTAACTGGTCTAGTAAGAGAAAAAAAAAAAAAAAAACCACATGGATGGCAGAGTTTTCATTACTTGAAAACAAAGTAATGAATAAAGATGTTACTGACCTGGGAAATGGACTCAGCACTTTCTGCACTGCTCTCCTTCAACTTCCGCTTGCTCATTGTAGAAGGTTTCATCTTCAAAGAAGAGAAAGGTTATATTAAATAACATTCCTTTCCACAAAAATTTGGATTTAATTTTTAAGGACTGTAATGAACATCTGTTTTTAATTAATAACAACGCAGCAGTCCACCTTCCTAGGGAAAAAGAGCCAAAACACTGAAAGCATTTTTAACTTACTTCTGGTGACATTAAACCCATATTTACACACTTCTAAACAGCACTGTTTTTTGGATGCTTTAGAGAGTTTGAAATAATGTCTTTATGTTTCTGCAGCTGGAACAAGTTACAAGGACATTGTAACAACAATTAAGACACAACAATTAAGTTTTTACAGGACTCACTGGCCATTCTTGATTATAATGTGCCCTTTGTAACAATAATCACAGCATCTCTCTGGATAAGCTGGCTCTGAAAGGGTCTGAAGTGGATTGGGGTCTCTGAGGGGATTTGGGGAGACCCAGAGGGGGTTTTGGGGGAACCTTGGGGCAGATTATGATGGGATTGAGAAGTTTGAGTGGGCTCTGAGGGGAATTCAAGAGTCTCTGAGGGAATTAGCAGGACCTGAGGGAGGCTCTGAGGGGGATTCAAGAGGCCCTGAGGGAACTGGGGGAGAAAAAAGGGTCTTGAGGGGGAGCTGTGGGTGTTCCCTACCAGCCAGAAAGGTTTGGGAGTGGTTCAGAGGGATTTGGGGGAGCTGGAGGGGGGCCGGGAATTTTTAGGGTCTGTAAATGCTTTGATGGAATTGGGAGGGGAGGTTCCATGAGGGAGTTTTGGAAGGGCTAAGGGGGGATGGAGGCTTTGAAGGGAGGATGTTTTGGGGCTGGAGAGTTTGTGACGACCCTAATGAGGGAATGGGGAGGCCCCAAAGGGTTTGGAGGGGCCCATGAGGGGCTTGGGAGGACGCTGAGGGCGAGTTTTGAGAGAACCCTGAGGGGGCCCATGAGGGAATCAGGGCTCCTTAAGGGGTGTGAGGGGGGTTCTGTGGGTGCTGTCCCGGCTTCACCTGTCCCACCCCCCGCCTCCCCTCACGGCGTTTTCCCGCCTCCTCTCCACCATCTAAGGGCGGCCACCGCCTTTCGTGCGCTCCCCTCAGCCCTCGCCTCACCCCACACGGCAGCGGCGACCACCAGAGAACCCCCACACCCGAGACCCCTCCCCAGCAGCCCCATACCCCCCTCAGAACCCGAACCCCCAGCTCCCGTTACCATCCTTACAGRCTGCAACCGCGGCTCCCTCAGGGACCCCGCTGCCCGCGCAGCTGAAGGGCGGGCGGGAGGGCGCATCCTCCGCTCCTCGGCGCGCTCCTCCGGGCAGAAGCGGCGATACCGAGCTTTTCCCCCGCCCTTTTACCTGCCCCGGCTCTCCCCTCACGCCGGCGCCGCTTTCCCGCCGCTCCTCCCTCACCTGAGGGCGGGACCCGCCGCACGCGCGCTCCCATCGGCCCCCGCGCGCCCCGCCCTTTACGCCACCTCGGGCTCCCCTCCCTCCCCTCTCCCCTCCTTCCCTTCCCTCCCCTCCTCTCCCTCCCCTCCCCGCCCCGCTCCCGTCACTTCCTCCCCGTCCATTTCTCCCCTCCCTTCCTCCCCCTCGTCCATTTCCTTCCTCCCTCTCCC